AACCTTCTTGCAGTTATACTACCATTAACCCAGCATCAACATCTGTGAAGAAAAAGAAGGGAAGAAAAAGAAAATTGCCTATCGATGGATTGGAGGACAGCAGCGTAACGAGTTTCGATTCCAACGACATCTGCAGAGATGTTGCATCAGCATTGGGCATAGACGCGAATGCAATGATTTCTCATCTTTTTTCCAACAATTTTGTGCAAAAGCCTGCCTTGAACGAAGCTCAGCTTCAAGATCGACTTCAAATGTTTTCCTCGCTGTCATTGAGAAATCACATGATGCCGTTCCTCTCCAGGATTATCACATATGCAGCGAAACGGATATACTTTGAAAGTGAGAAACGTTTACTGGATGACACTTCTGACGAACTTCCTGGTCAAAGTGTTTTACTCATTATATGGTGGTCGTCTAACGGTGTTATTTACCATGCCTTTTTGCGGGACGATGAGAACGCTCAAAGCCATAGGGTTTTAACATGGCAGCTTTTCGTAAGTCAGCTTGGCGAAGTACACCGGGTGATTAAAGCCAACAACATGGAACAGCCTAAACCAATTCTGCTTTGTGATGAACCGCACCCTTACATCTCTTGGGACGTAGTCACCAAGATACACGACCGGAACTTTGAAATTCTGCCATATCCTGCAAATGCTAAAGATCTCCTGCCTTCTCATTACCATTTCTTCTCGCATTTCTTCAACTACATTGGAAATAAGGATTATAAGTATTTTCATACATTAAAAACAGACTTTAGGAATTTTGTTTCATCTCGAGCCCCAAACTTTTTCGCTGACGGTATTAATGAATTAGCGTTACGTTGGGATAAATGTATTGATATGAATGGATGCTATGTGGATCTCTAATTTCTGTTCTCTGTTAGTTGTTATACCTTTATGAAATTTGCTTTATAAGAAGAAGTGGAAAATAAACTTATGTTCATATCATCATATCCAATCTTGATCACCTGTTGCTGTGATTTCGTAATCTTTCATTCTACTTTTATTACTTTAAAAATACGATTATTCTTGACAAAACCTTCTGACTGACTTGAATATGTCGGTAATACAAGTACAGAAATATCTGGACAATAAAATTATGCAGAAATAATTTGGTGATTAAATGGGCGTGGTTTGGCTTTGTTCACGCCACGCCCCTCTGAATTTCCCATCTCGCACTTTTTGAGGAAAGTTTATTCAACAGCACTAATAGCTGATTCGTAACGTCTTCTGTACACAATACTCGATGCTTCACGTGCAGCGAACTGAATGGAAGAATAAAGACAAAGTCGAGGCAGCGATTGGGCACGTATTTTTCCAGCGTGTTATGAACTGTGGACCTTTAAGAGGTAAAAAGAGAGAAGGCCGTTCTGTATCGTTTTCTTGCCGCGCCTACTCTCACTTTGGTGTGGTTGGTGGGGCTTAGGGTAATTGGCGAGAGTGGTAGAGGTAGCAAATCGGCACCTCTGAAGAACCGCCGACAAACAAAGTATTGCGGATTAATTTTTTTGTATAATTAGAAAATGTTTGAGCTGTTAGAGAGTGAAGAAAACCATGAATAGCTCCATATTTAGTGGTGAATATATCCTCAATTTTAGAACGACTGTCGCAAAAAAAATACAATGCATTTTACTGTTTAAAAGTGAGCGAAGAGTAAAGTAATATCGACTTCGATTAAATACTGAGTCAAATGACTTAAACGGAAGAATAAGATACAGCTGGTAGAATAGCTTAGCTACCAGCAGTATTTCTAGTTCTGTATCTTCGTTAATGCAGTCATACAATCAGCTCAATGTTGCGTGCACATAGATGCGATGCGGCGCGAACAGCCTGCTTTAGGTGTCAGTTGGTGTGCCTTGAACTACATAATTACATACATAAATAATAAATTCAATTTCCTCTTTCAAAAAAGTAGTGGGAAGTTTTCTGTAAAGACTAGAGGTTTTCCAAATTTTTCCGTCTCCGACTATCATTACTTATAATAAAGCGCTAATTTGTCTGTATGTGTGTGTGTTTCTCTGTCTGTCACGAAATTA